AATTTTTTTCTGAAGCTTTATCAAACAATATCAACCAGGTTGAACAGAAGTCTTTACAAATTAGTTTAAGAAAAATCTGACATTCGGATATTTTATTGCACACATAATCATACAAAGAAAATGCAGATAAAATTGTATAAAGAAAATATAGAGAAAATATATACAACAGTTAACGTATCATAAACATTTCAACATACTTGTACAAAGTCTTTACGAATTAGTTTCAGAAAAATCTGATATTCGGATATTTTGTTGCACAGATAAACATACAAAGAAAATACAGATAAAATTGTATAAAGAAAATATAGAGAAAATATATACAACAGTTAACGTATCATAAACATTTCAACATACTTGTACAAAGTCTTTACGAATTAGTTTCAGAAAAATCTGATATTCGGATATTTTGTTGCACAGATAAACATACAAAGAAAATACAGATAAAATTGTATAAAGAAAATATAGAGAAAATATATACAACAGTTAACGTATCATAAACATTTCAACATACTTGTACAAAGTCTTTACGAATTAGTTTCAGAAAAATCTGATATTCGGATATTTTATTGCACACATAATCATACAAAGAAAATGCAGGTAAAATTGTATGAAGAAAATACAGAGAAAATATGTACAGCAATTAACGTAACATAAACATTTCTTCTTACTTGTACAAAGTCTTTACGAATTAGTTTCAGAAAAATCTGACATTCGGATATTTTGTTGCACAGATAATCAAACGAAGAAAATGCAGATAAAATTGTGTAAAGAAAATACAGAGAAAATATGTACAGCAATTAACGTATCATAAACATTTCAACATACTTGTACAAAAAAAGTACAATAAATTCTCCCTAATTGACGCTCAGATTGTGCACAAAAAGTGGACAATTTGGGAAGAGGAGATACGATTATTCGAACCTTGCGGCTCGTTTTTCCAGTTGTTGATAATCGATTGATAATCGTATTTCCTCTTCCCGAATCGTCGATTTTTCTGAGCGTCAATTAGGGGAGAATTTACCGTGCACGGATTATAACAAGCGTACACGCGTAATTTGAATCCAGTTCGTTTCGATCTCTAATCTAATCGGAATCATCTCGTCAGGCTAATCAAGATAAAGGAGTGGGTCGACAAAAACGATCCCGGAGCTATTCTGATCCCTTTCAGCGGTGCTTTCGAGAACAAACTCGTCGATATGGACGAGGCGGAGCGCGCGAAGTACGTGGAAGAGCAGAAGGCTACTAGGTGCGTATGACAGTCTATTATTTCAAGCAGCCCTTAAAATTCGCGAACGACCGTGGTTATACTTGCAAATGTAAGCACTGGCAGCGCGTTCTAGTCGAAAATAGCGGAGGCACGGACGTGTTTCGCGGCTAATTATGGAACGCTGACCGCAAAAGGTTGGAAGGAAAAGACCCCCTAACCCCGAGGAAGTCCGGTTCCCACATTTAACTATGCACCGAGTTATCTACTAACGGTAATAATAATGGAGGGATCGGTGGCCCGAGCGTCTAGACGCGGGCCCGGTTTCGTACAGGGCGACCAATAAAAACTGCGGCATCTTTGCCGTGGCGCATTATATTTTTACGAACGGCTATTCAAATTCTTGTGAAATTGCATAAAAAGCCCTCTCCTACCCTCCCGGGCACATCGGCCAAACTCGGGGATGAGTAGGCCAGGGCAGCGTGGATCAACCGGTTCACGGTTGCGTAGTGGCATAGGGTAGTGGAGCCGGTTACTGTGCCCTTTCGTCTGTGCCTTTCTACCTTATATTTAACGAATAAGACATATATTAAATCTTCTTTTCTCTTACTTTGCTCATTTTTGTTTTGTTTTTCAATCGTATGAGACACATTAACTTCTTCATTCTTTTATTTTGTTCTTCTTTTAATTAAAAAATTTAATTCATGTGAATGATTCAGTAGGACAGTGGTATCGGTTATTGTGGGTTATTGTGTCACCAATTGCTGTGTCTTTGGTTCGTTTTCGGACATAATTGTCTTCATATTTATCGAACAAGATATATTAAATGTTTTTTTTATTTAAAAGTAAACAACATAAAAGAATGAAAAAATTGAACACGTCTTATTCGATTAGAAAATGAACGGAATAGAAGAATAAAAAAAATTAATATGCCTTATTCGACTCAAAAATAAACCACATAAAAGAATAAAGAACTTTGGCATGTCTTATTTATTCGATTCAGAAATAATCGAACTAAAAAAGATAAACAAATTTAACATGTCTCGTTCGATCTAAAAAAATAAGCAAAATGAAATATTGAAAAATGTAATATGTCTTATTCGATAAATATAAAGTTCATTATGCCCGGAAACAGATTAAATTATTGGTCACCCCACAGTAACCGGCTCCACTAGCCCAGTAGCAAAAATCCACTACCCCAACGGAAAAAATGAGCGCGACCCTGCGATCGCAATCGAGTTCACAAGCGACGAGTCATCTAGGATCGCGTGGATCTTGGTGGATCGCGTGGATCGGCCGAAAGAGATACCTCGAAAGTAAAAGCAATTTCCAAGATGACCGTTTGATCGTAACGCTAACGTAGGAAATATTAAATCGTGCGGCCCAATGACTAGCCGCAAATCAAAGCGTCTCGGCAAATTCTCTAGATCCCACGAAATGATCGCGCAACGCAGGCTCATTCGGTAATCACAGGGGACAAACGGCAGATTCCTGGATACCGCGAGTTTATTTCGAGACCGCAGATGAACTTGGGCGCCGAAGTAGGTCTCAGACGGAGTTCGAGTGATAAAATTGCGGTATTAAGTCGTTCAGCTTTATGTGTATTCTCTGAAGTCTCGAAATCTGGCAGGGGCTACGGAACAGGATGGCTTCCCTTCCTGTACCCTGTCATTAGACGATATTCGGTTCGAGACAATCATATTCCACAATCCTGCTCTCTCTCTCTCTCTCTCTCTCTCTCTCTCTCTCTCTCTCTCTCTCTCTTCCTCTCTTCCAATTTCGGCTACCCCTTCCATCAACGAGGGATTCACTTTTTCCCTCCGAATACGCCGCGCCGGCGAATACCTGATTCGTCGATGTTTTACAACTTTCTTACAATTATAGAAATCGCAGATGCGTCTCGCTTTTTGCTCCTTCCACGCGATCGGAAATCGCGCGCTCTATTTAGCAGCTTTCTTATCTAATCGCCAGTGTCGCGCACAGTTTTCACTGCACGAACTGCTTTCAGCGCGCTCGACAAAATCATCGTCCAAGGATACAAGGCGTTGCAGTTGCAATACTTCTTCACGGCAGGACACGACGAGGTCAAGGCGTGGACGATTCAGGTGATCGAATCAGAGAATACTGAATAGTCGAAGATTCGTTGTGGTTCTCTACTAAACCAGCCCTGTTTCATTTTACAGAAAGGCACGAAGGCTCCGCAGGCGGCAGGCAGAATTCACACCGACTTCGAGAAAGGTTTCATCATGGCCGAGGTAATGAAGTACGACGACTTCAAGAACGAAGGCTCCGAAACCGCAGTGAAGGTAACGATGAGCTGCGATTAGTTGTATTTGCATCCGATAATTCGATTTTGTCCGTTTTGCGACAGGCTGCTGGCAGATACAGGCAGCAAGGACGCAATTACGTGGTCGACGACGGTGACATAATCTTCTTCAAGTTTAACGCCGGCGCGGGACTGAAAGATGCGAAGAAAAAGTGATGGCACGCGATACTCATGTTGTTGCTGGTGCATTTCTACATCAACATGATCCTCATGTTCTGTTGCACGCGCGACATGCGCGTGAAACGGTCGAAATAGCTTACAAACACCCCTAACAGTTCTTTTCTTACGTTGCCGGAAATCGATCGA